TTTTTTTTTTTTTTAAATTGTAATTTAGGTGAGCAGCATTTTCTCAGATTTTAATGAAGTGAACTTTTCAGAAAGTCATGAAATGAAGTTTATGTTTTGCATTTCATGACTGAGCATGTTCAGGGAGTGAAAAATAAAACTATGTTATCTTAGCTGCAAGCCTGCTTAAAAAATCAAAACAGCATTCTGCTTTCACTGATAAAATGTGCATTGAAAATAATACAGATCTTTCTCATTACAGGACAGCATGCTCCAAACACTTCTGTACAGAATATTCCATTCTTGCCTGTTGGCCACCATTAAATTAAATGCTTTCTTATTCCTTATAATAATGTTCTTGTTTTGAAAGTATTAGCAATAAAAAATGTCATTTTGTTTCATTCTTTCATTATTGGAATAACTAACCTAGAGATATATTTATTGTATTCAAGAAAAATTATACTGCATTTAAAATGACCTGATGGTAGAAAGTAGCTTTTGTTCCAGATATATCAAACTGACATATTTATCTTTCTAGAAAAAGTTTAATGTGTGTTGCCCTGTTACAAAACAGATGCAGTTATGCAATTCTTTAGTGCAGAAGATTATTCTATAGGTACTGGTCAGAAAGGAATGCATAATTAAAAAAGAATTGTGAATCACCGGAAAATCTTGAGACTGGACATCCAATCATTGTGATAAATTACTGAACTAAAGAAAAATTTAGCAAAGCATGTTTTACATGCCCTCGGATGGTTCATGAATGTTGTTAATAAAACATGCATAGTGATAATTTTAGTTTCTTACATAAGATTTGGTTTATTTGATTATGGCAAAGCATGTGAGGGCTATCTGCCTAATAGGAGGAATGCTTTCGTGGAGGACCTTCGAAGAGAAATTGGCTAGTATACATGTTATGTGTGGGGAAAATCACGAAAATGCCAATGCAGCCATCCCATTCAACAGGATTCCAACCTTGGACCAAACATAAATGTAAAGCTTCATCCATATCCCAAGTAAAAAATCTATAATTGCTTCCCAACATGATCCATTTCTGTATTTGTTTGCATATTATGCCATCATCTTCCACTGACAGTATTCCGTGTTTCATTTGAGACTATAGTTCAAGTCATTCTTTTTCTGTACATGCTTAATTGCCAGCATTAAATGGAAAAGGAAAGTCCAAAAGGGTTATACGGAGATTTGTATTTTTTCAGTGTTTTTCCCATGTTTATGAGAAAAACTGAAAAGAAGATGTGCCTTTGAGATGTCTAACATTAGGTAATTGAATACAGACAAAAATGTAGCTCAGCATTTCTCAAAGTTTTTTGAAGTGGGGACCATTTTATAAATTAGAATGTAATGCAGACTGTCTTAGTATTCTCTTCTTCTAAAGTAGTTTTTTAGCATATGCTACTACCAGTATGCTTGCATTTTTAAAATACAAATTCACTGCCAGATGAGCAGTGAAATGATGGTGAGAAGGACTACAGTTATAGTGCTTTAAATCCCTATTTTGTTGCTAAGAACAGCGTGGGAAATCCATTAATGGAGGAACTGGTAAAATATTTCATAAAATATGCCTTCTGAAAAAAAGTGACGGATGGTTTCCATGTGTAATTTCTAAACTTTGTGATATAAATAGTGAGTAGTCTGAATTTGTTTTTTTTTGGGGGGGGGGAAGGTCTTTTTCAGAAAAGTAAGAGAACCATAAGGGCCAGCTTCGAGAATCTCTTATGGTCCTCCGATTTAGAAATGCTGTTATTGATCGAAAAAAGGTCCATTTGTATTTGTAAGGAAATTTATTTAATGAACAAAGTACTTTATTTTAGTTATAGAATATAAATTAAAATAAATCAGCATAGCAATTACTTCACCCACTCCATTTCTTTTGTCACATTTAAAGTTTTAATTGACACCATAATTTAATGATTTTCATTTTCCAGATTTTTATCACTAAATTTGTGAGTTGCAATGTGTTTAACTTGTATTTTTGTTTGTATTTGGAAAATAATTAAAGGTAGGAATTCCTTTTGCATAAAAAAGGTTGTGTTTTCTTTGGATTAAATATACTAAATTTTGACTTTCCTTAATTGCACAGATGCTGTTACCATATTTTATCCCCTGTTTTAACATCTTATATATATATATATATATTAAGAAGCATTCTTGCTTATTAAGAGAAGGTAGTAAATTCACATGAATTAAATTTTTGCAGTCTACACTTTTTGGGCCATCCTTTTGCATATACTAACAAATTGCTTGGGCATTGAATTATGTAGGCATACCAAATTTCTTCTGGAGTATTGGCGTACACTTTTTGGATGAGGGCTATAGCTGATGTTTTTTCCTTTGATTTGTGCCTCCACATCTCTTTCTTCAGGGCATGCTATAGATTCAAATAGTATTGAGACTGTGTGACCTTGGGACTCCTGCAACATAAGATTCCATTTTAGTCAGAGTAATGATATGTTGTGCCGTTAGGGGCCTTGGAACAATGTTACTGATGGAGCGGATCTTTGTGGACAGAATCATGCACTGAAAGCAGTAAATACTGTTGCGTAACTCCTTGGTACTAATAGCTGGAAGCTTCTTACTGCTCTTGGTTTTTGGGCAAATCATTCATCTGGTTGGTGTATCTGATGTTTCAATATAAGACAATATGATAGCTCATTAAACCCTATAATTAGCTATTTCTTGAAGTTACACATTGCTGTATGCATGTGCTGGGAATTCCAGTAATTTCTAGGAAAATACATGCAGTGTATATCTTGTGACAAGGTCATGAAATGCTGTCTTCCCTACCATTCCTGCAGCTTGGTGTAAGGAAACCAGCTTTCTCAAAATATCTGAGAAATGTTTTAATAGTAGACTGATCACATTCAATTATCAAAAAATCTGCTGCAGAATAAAACCATTTTGTCATTTCTTGTGGATCTTTTATAGCTTTAGCCTTGGTCTTTGTTGTTCTGTTCTTCAAGCTTTAATTATGTGTATAAGGCCTTTGATTTCCTGTTCACATTGGTTGCATGCTCACAGCTATGGAAGATAAAATGCAGCAAAGTTTTCATATACAGGGAGGGAGAACTTGTTGAGAATTGGACACAGATGTATTTACTGTCTGGAGGTTTTTGGAGCATTAGTATTTCCAAAGATATTATGAAATGCCTGCTGTTGCATTTAAATTGATTTTCATTGTAATCATAAAAATATCATAGTTGAAACGAGATACATCATTCATTAATCCAATTTTCATACAACTGCAAACTAGTGCAATTTTCTTAGTAGTTAAATAGTTATGCCTTGGACGTGTGTATATTTTCCAATGTAGCTTCATATATTTATGCAATTTGTATAACATATTTTAGAAATTGAATAGTGGAATATTTATTCTATGCTGTTAGTTACATTATGTCACATCTTCATCTTAAACAGAAATCAAGAGATTATGCTTTTAAGTAAAACCTTCTTTAACCAGGGTTACCAGTTTGAGTAATTTAGTCACACCCATTTGCAGAGGGTTACCTGTTTGAGTAATTTAGTCACACCCATTTGCAGAATAGGCTGACACACCAACTATTTCTAAAGTATCTATGGACATATCAGTTCTGTTTACGCATATGAATTTATGGGCAGTTTCAAATGTGCTGTATTCCTGTTTTTCTTAGAGTTATCATCACTGACATCTTCAACTTTGCTTCTTTCATTCTGATAACTACTATAACTGATAACTGTGGTAGCCTTCCGATTTATTCTTTTCAGCAGTTCTGTCTTTTTTTGAATCCTGTAAAGAATATGGTCTTTTTGTTTCTCATGTGGTTTTTGTGCTTCTGCTTTTTGTGTAGTAATTTATATGCACTTTATTGAAAATAAAATACATGCAGAAACCATGTTTAAACACTTGTAGAAGTCATGTTTGACATGCAGAAACAATGTTTAAACATATGTAGAAATTTTCACAGATGACCCATCTGCTTCATCAGCTGGAGCTGAAGAGATGGTTTTACCAAGTTTACTTTTATTGCTTTTTGCAGGGGATACTGTATTCAGAATCAGTGTCGAGGTATGCGGAATGTCGGAAAAAAGTTTCTTGCAAAACAGTTTTGTGATAACAAGTGCTTCTCTAATTTTTAGGCTGATTTAATGCCAGAGTTTGTAACTGTTTGACTTAAATTTGGAAAATTAATTGTTTTGTTGGAATAGTATGGAATGATAAGGTGTTTCTGCAGGGATCTTTGAAAAATCAGCTGTATGGCTCATAGCAGAGATTGTATTTGATATGCTTAGAAAAGACTTAATTGTTTAAAATCTAATCATGAAAGACATATAAGCAGAAGTGTTCATTCTTTACTTGTGTGTGTACTCTGAGTGAGATTTCAGGAACCTGATATAAATTTATACTATTAATAATACTACTAACATAAGATAGGTTTGAAGGGATATTAGTTACTTTTGAAATTTATTTCAGTTGTAGAAAGTTGTCTAGCTTATTTTTTATCTTAAAACCAAATTCTGATTATATAAGTTTGGGCATGGGATTAAATTTTTTAGTGTAATTCAGCTGAAGTAAAAATTGAGAATGGCATTGGGTTCCATATATATATATATATATACAGATGTTATGGAACTACAGTTGTAAAATTAGAAATGCTATTTTTTAAATTTTTTGCTGTACTGCAGGCTTTTAATAAAATATTTCTGCATTTATGTAAAACTTAAGTTAGTTATAATTAGCCTCACCTTTGGATGAGTGGTTAAGACTGCACAGTGCAATAGTTCGACCTGTGTTTGGGTTCAAGGAAATGGTCTGTTTGCACGATTTTCATTGTTTTTCCCATTTGTAACATGAATACAAGCCATTTCCCTCAGAAAGTCCTTCATGAAGGCATCTCCTTCCTTAGGCAGATAGCCCTTGTATGCTTTTCCATACTTAAATAACCTAATACAAGTTAAGTTTGTATATCGCTTCAATAAGTTTAAATATGAAATCTGATTCTGAATTATTTCATTTTCATTTTTAGGCGTACAATTAGTTAACGGCACAGGAGGATGTGTGAATGGCACAGGAGAATCTGTGAATGGCACAGGAGGATATGTTAATGGCGCAGGAGGAACAAACACTCAGAAGTAAGTACTGCCTTGAAAATCCTTTCACATAAGGACAAATTTTATGCAGTTCTCATTAAAATGGTAAAAGCTATTCAGAATGTTTGGTTTCATCCTTTTGTTGCCATGCAAGAATTTGACTTGACCTTAGGTATTTTTTGCATAAATCTTAAGCATGTGCAAACATTAAATGCTTTTATTTTAATTGTATTAATTATCCCTCTGGCTAAAATCTGTTAGTTTTTCTTTGTGTAGCATTAGAAGGCATAGTTATGCATTAAGTTTGATAGTTTAGGAATACATTCAGGGTTTTTCCAGGTTGTATGACTGTTGCAAATATATAAACTATGCTAAAAATGTGATGATTGTCCTCAGAGTTGATTGTAGCTGTGCAATAAAATTAAAAAACAGTGATTGCTGGCAAAATTTAATGGAATAAAAGTAATGTAAATGGTATTGTTTTAAAAGAAGTAAAATGGCTGTCAACAAAAAGTGAGCTAGTTATTTGGGAAGTTAAAAAGTGTTACTTTGTTCTAGGTATGGTGAATAAGAAAGATGTTAAAACTCAAAATTATATATTTTCTTCTAGAAATAAAGGTTTCTGCCAGAAAACATACTGATAAAATGACTTGGCTTGTCCCTCCAGTACACTCTTGATACCGGGTTGAATCCCCTGGTGGATCCTTCACTGTGAACTATGACACGTGCACCCAGACAGCACTCTCCCGCTTTCTTAGTGGTCATTTAAGAAGCCTTGCATTCCAGAGAGGTAAAAAACACACCCAGTTTGTCCGAAATGTAACAATGAGCAGGCTTCTCCGGCACATATTCTTAGATGTCTGGGTTTGTCCTATGACGATCTGTTTGTTTCTTATGCTAGTCTATGACTTTTTGAAGGTGAATAAACTCGCGGATCTCGTCTAGCAGAAGCTGGGATTTAAGATTAGCAACAACAACAACAACACAGAAATAAAGGTTCAACAATGCATATATTAAACTGCATTAATTCAAAACCTGTTTGAAAAAGTGTGTTCTATATATGAAAGAAATTCTGATCAATAAAAGTACACCCCTTTACAGGATTTTTTGAAATATTAAATGTGATATTGTGAATGTAATGTTAAATGCGTTTGCAATATTTTAAATGCATGTTACATTTACTCTAATTTTAGTGGTAAATTTTATGATGCACCTGTGGGACCTTTAGCACAACGCTTGGCTTCATGTTTTATGGAAGAAACTCCAGATATAGTTGCAAGACTGAGAGGTTATAAGAACAAAGGTAATGAATAAATTATATAACTGAGAAAACATCCTTGTTACTCTTTAGACTTCTGCATGGATTCCTTTTAATGCAACATTATCTTTTGCATGTTCATAGAAGTTCAGGTTTATTTTTATGGCTGTGAACTTAACAATCTTTCTTCATGTTCTTATTTTTTTAATTCCAATATTGTTCTTAGTATGTTTATTGTTAAGCTGAAGTTTGACTCTAGATAGGTATTTAGTAGTTTGAATAGATAGATAGATATAGATATCAAATTTCTTGAATGAAATTAACAGCAGTTATCAGCTTCATTAGAAGAAACGAATAATTTCACTCAAACTTCTTTCCATAAACTGCTGTTTAATTGATTCAACTTATGATGTGTTAGTAACCACTGTTACTAATTATCACTTCATAACTTCAAGAGAATTGGTTGAAAGTATTCAGTCCTAAATTTGCTAGGCACACTGGCCATGTATATATTTTTGCTGTGGAATAATTTTAACAATAAGTAAACTTAAATCTGCTTATTTGAAAATTGCATTTGCACATGCTCTAAAATAACTTATATTAAAGTCTTTTGCAATAACTTTTAATATTTATAAAGAATGTTCTTTTTCTGTTCCATGACAACTTCTTGAAGCTTTAGGCCATATGGCATGGCCTAACAAAAATGCACTTGTTAATATTCAATGAAAATATGCCAAAAGTCATATATAGAATTTAATTTGTATTTATGGTCAAAATATAACCAATATTACTGCTGCCTCTAAACAAGTTACATTTACTTTGTAGTGGAAAAGATATTCATTAGGCAAAAAAATTAACCTTCCACTTTTTAAAAATTCCTATTGTAGCTGCCTCAGTGAACAATATTTTTAGGCAGGGCCCACTCTGAGCATAAATGACATAGGTAGCTGCTTAGGGCACTGCTTTTCGGAGGGCAGGAACTAAGTTTTCACATGTGACTGGTATTAATTATTAATATGTATAATTTATATGGGGCTTCAGTTGCACTAATCTTGTAAGGCCTCAAAGTGGGAATAGGCCCAGTAATTTCAAAACAAAATGCATAAAGTGTAAAAACAGGGTAAAAGTGTAAAAGTGTAAAATAGAAATATCAAGCACAACCACATAGTTAAAGAAAACTAAACCTTATAGCAATAAAAATTATATTCATGTCCAAAATTATCTTTAATGCTTTGAAATCACAGATTTCTCAGAAACAGTGAATTATAATTGATGAATTTGTATGGCATGATACATAACATCATACTGCATAAATACAAAGGGGAAAAACTTAAGATCACTGCATGTGATATAAAACTGTAGTGTGAAACAATAAAAATTGTAATAACACTACAAGAAGAGCTCAGAAATAAAAAATTAACGCTTGTGAATTTAGTGTGGAATGTGATCTTCCCTGACTTTTACACATCACAATGTGTTTTCATGCTGGCAATAAGGTTATTAAGCACAGTTTGGGGAATTCAGTTCCGTTGTTCCAGCAATGTGTTCTTCAGGACATTTATATCTGTACGAGTAGAATGTGTAGATGCTTATGCTTTTCTAAGGTAGCTTCATAAATTCTCTATTAGGTTATGACCAGATTTTACTGACCACGGTATTGGCTCATTCTGTTCATTTTCAATGGGATTTGCTCGATGTGGATGAGCATTATCATCCATAAAGAAAAGTTAGATCCATAAGCTTCTATGAAAAGTCTTGGATAAGGTTCTAAGACCTCATCCCGATATCTCTGGCTGGTCACAGAGCCGTTGTTGAAAATGTGCTTTCAGATGTAAGCACAATTTAGAATAAGATGTTAAACTAAACCTCTGTTCATCAGAGAACACTGGACCATTGGTGTTCAGTGATCCCTCTTTTCCCTGAAAACAGTGAATTACATAACCTTGGCTTTCTGGCCTAAAAGCCTTTTTCATTAAACATTCTGGATAAAGTTTGCCATGGTGCAGCAGGTCCAGTGGCGGCTGCTAGCTCTGTATTAAACTGCCGGGCAGTTGACTTCCTTTTACGGCAAGCAGTTATTGCCAGATACTGGTCCTGAGAAGCAATTGTTTTTCATTTACAACCTTGTCCAGGTCTACAGCAATTTCAGGATTGTCGAGGTAAGTGAAGATTAATGAGGTATTGAATAGCCATTGCTATAAAGAATTAAATTGAGAAGAAAATAGTTTTTACTTTGGATAAAATATTTTGTGATGTCACATATGTTTGTTATCCCTTCAAGACTTTTGAATGAAAATTATGAATATCATTATGATCACAGAGCCATTCATAAGGAAGCATTCATAGTTAAAAGATGAGTATTTTAGAGTTTTATTTTCTTTATTCTTAGGGAAAACAAAACAGGATTTTTAAAGGCTAGGGATTTTGAATTTTTGTAGGTTATTTTAAACGGAATCTCCATGAAAATGTTAAGTACAGTATACTGTCACAAACTTTCCTCACAAGTGCTGCAACTGTTGCCAATTTGTGCAAAGAGTTTTCTAAATAAAAATCATTTAAGTAACTCCTAAAAAGCCACAAATGAGTAATAAATAAAAATCATTTAAGTAGCTTCTAAAAGGTCACAAATGAATATTTTGCATTTAAGAAATTTTTCTGTACTGTCTGTATAGCAGTAACTGGAGCTTTGAAGTACACTGTCTTCTTTCTACAGTAACATCAATGGTTTTGTGAGCATAAAAGCAAAATTTAAAATTATGAAGTATAGTTTTTAATTATTGGAAAAAGTGTATGGTTATTTTATGTATGTAATTTTGACATTTGTTTGTATAACAAGAGCAAAACCTCTTGTGTCCCTGGTAGTGAAGCAATTTTTAAAAATCTTTTAAACAGACTTTTTAAAACTTTATCTTGAACTGATTTTTTTTGCATGTATACTCATTTAATGAAGAAACTAAAAATCTCAGAATTTTACTTTTTTCACCATTTGATAGAGTGGGAAAAACCTTTTAAATGATGTTGAAATGTTTAACGTAATTTCCAATGTCTGAAAAATCACGTGATTGTTTGGACCATTTTCCATCCATTATTTTAAAATTTCAATGTCCAAAAATGTATATTTTATAAAAGCTTGACAGTTTCACAAATAAAACAAAAAAGTTTTGCTTTTTGAAATTATAAATAAGATTCTTATATTTTTTTAAGGGATATCTTGTGTCCAACCTTAAGCAAAAGAGGAAATATCAGTTTCTGCTTGGGTTGGATGTGGTTCACTGGGAAATGTAGTTTGTGACCATGATGTCATTATACATCACAGTATTTTCTGGCTTCCATATAGATTTCTGTAATATTGATTTTATTTATTTACTTCCCTCGCTTTGCTTAGATAATTACTTGCAAAGAAATTAAAGTAGAAGTCTTCTGCCATTTTATGAATTCCATTTGTTCCCCCTTTTTTGTAGATAGATTTTGGATTTTATTTTATTATTCATTTTATTTATTAATCCCAACAGCGAAAGTGTTTAAGCTTAGATTATCAGCACTACTGTTCCTTCTAATCTGCTTGGCGAACATGACGTGTCCTGACTAGACAGCGAGTTTGACTACAAACGTTAAATTACCCTTTATTTTCCATGATATTGCAGGTGCTCTTGCACTTCTGGATACAAAGACCAACCACTTGTGGTCTGAACATAAAAATATAAGAACTACTGACTAACTAAAATTTAAATAAAAGTGAGTACTTTATACAATTGACTAACGCTAAGACTGGCCTTTTAAATTATTATGTATGTAGTATGCAAACTGCGAAAAACTACAATATGACTTTAGCTTTCGAGAGGAATGAAACCTCTGGCCGTAAAGGCAGACAGCAAGTGATGGCAAGCTTGCGTGAAATGCAGTGGCAAGGCGGCTCACTTTCTCTCCATCTCACTCTGCTCTCTGGCAACTCTTCTTGCCGGACAACTTAAATACTTAAGCGTTAGCAAGTACAATGTGCATAAAGTTAACGTGTTTATTTTGGCCGGAAGGGGAAAATAAGACAGGGTAGTAAAGTTTTACAATGAAATAAACAGTAAAACTTAAGACCCTTACAAGATTAGCATTTAAAATTATTTGCAATGAAATCTACCATGGCATTTTCCCTGTTTTATAAGTTTATATACATTTTTCTCAGCACTTCAAATTAAAACCTGGTTTTCTTAATTTTATTCAGAAAAATAATGCTATATTCCTTAATGCGAGTTTTAAAGTGCAACATCCAAAACTGTATCTGTTAAAAAGATTTGAAATTTTCACAGGCTATCAAACAAATTCTTCACCCTCTTTTAATGTTTTCCGGAACGCTACCTTTTAAAGTCAGAGTATTGATTTAAAAAAAGGTAGGCAGTCTAATTAGCCCTAGAGGAGTACACAAGTAAAATTTTGTGAAGATAGCACTTATCTTTTAATTCTGTTGGTGGGCCCAAAGTGGGCACACTGATTGAATAGGGCTTCAAAAAGAGTTCTGAAACAAGCATTGTTATCAATGAACTGACCGATGAACAAAGAAACAAAGAATACAGACTCAGTTGTACTAGATTATCGGTGAGCCGGTCTGCGCACACCTAGGATTCGCCGTTTGATTTTAGGCAAGATTTCAAGGTAAAAATTTAAAACTAATATAGAGTAAGGAGATTAGCATACAGCCAAAAAAAAAAAAAAAAAAAAAAAAAAAAACATAGAAATTTCTTTTCAAACAATTCCTTTTATACCCTAAAAAAAATCTGGAAGATTTCTTTGAAAAATGAGGGTCTTAAAAAACTAAACATGGTTAAAACATATGAAGTGGTTTGGTTGAGTTGCCATCTACTATAAATAAAGAATTCATAGTAACCTATAGTAACGTATAAATCCTTTTACATTCAATGTCGGACACACTGTGCCGCAAAGAGTTAAACTTAGAAGGTAAGATCTAGTCTTCTTTCCTGATATAAAATGCTATTAGACATACTTCAGAATCTCTGTAGCAACTTATCACCAAGACTCAAAGATGAATACAACAA